ATGGGTGTCTCCCAACCATATTCTATCGATCTTTACTGTGACAATCAAAGTGCTATGCAGATTGCCCACAATGATGTTTTTCATGAACGTACAAAACATATTGAGGTCGATTGTCATTTTATTCAATATCATGTTGCCAAAGGAATTGTCCACTTGGTCTTCATTGGCTCTACTGATCAGCCTACGAATCTCTTCACTAAGGCTCATTTTCCTGGATGCTTCTGTACTCTCATTTCCAAACTCAAGCTGGTCTGCTCATCACCACCTTGAGTTTAAGGGAGATGTTAGAATATTCTCACTTTATTATGTTCACATTGCTATGATTATAATTGATTGACATAATTAAATTAATTGATTTTGTACTATAAAATATTCTCTTATATAGGCTTATAAATAGGCACTTTATATATTCAAATGAATCAAGAAAAACCATCACTCGCCGCCGCTAAGGTTTCCTCTTGATGGGCGAGCTCCTTACCTAGGTGCTCCTTCCTATTTGAAGGGCTTTTCCCCTGTTTTTTCTTTCTTTTCTTTCCATGGCTCAACCATGTATGCTGGCTTGGAATTATTGCAACCCTTGGAGAGGCTTACACAATCTTTGAGCCACACCAATTATGCCTCCAACAAAAGCCAAATTTTGCCCTGCTCCCTACAACAAAGCAATCGGGGATGGAGATGGATTTGTTTCGAATATATCTAGGGTTGGCCCACTATTTTGCAAGCAATTGTGTAGAGAGAGGCAGCGACTTGACTTTGTTCTGGAATGATGCGTTGAACCTTCAAGTTTCCTTTTTCTCGCCATCTCACATAGATGTTGTAATAGTAGATTCGGGTGGATGTCAATGGCAATTAACAGGGTTTTCTGGCCAACCAGAGATGGTTTGCAGGGAGGAGTCATGGACCCTTCTCAATTTACCCAAGACAATTTCTCCTCTGCCCTAGATGCATTTAGGCGACATCAATGATATCTTGAGCAAATCAGAAAAGGAGAGGGGCAAACTTAGATTCTGGTTGGGTTCTGCGTGGGGGGCCATAGGCGGGTTTTGGTGTGGAGGGTCAAATTTACATGCTATGGGGGAAGCTAATGGTGCTCTGTAAGGGTAGTATGGTCTTCAAGCTGGTAAAAGGGCTCTAGTCCCCTTATTAACTTATGGTAGCAAGGGCTTGATGAGGATTGGAAAAGATGGGCACATGTTTGGGTGCACTTGCAGACGAATGGAGTACCTAGTGATTGCACAGAGGAGGGGTATATAGAGGAGGACCATACCCCTCCTCTTGTCGATTATTTTTTAAGAATAGTTTGGCTGGCAACCTATCGTTTGGGGACTGTTTGTTGCCAAAATCCTTCACTCTCCCCATGAAGCTGGTTAACTAGGTGAAGATGTCCAATAGCTTTTGATGCTCATAGTGACTTCCCTTTCTACATTACTAGCCCTATTTAGCCTATACAGCGATTGCAATTGCAATCTCTAATTGCATATGGCTCTCTTTACTTAATTGCTTATATTCGTCATGGGTATAGTTTAAATTTGTTATTAAACTGTAGGTTATGCTTCTGATTCTGTTTTTTAGGCTATCATGCTTTAGGCTATATGCCTTGTGATGGAGATTTTATTATACTTTCTTATTATTTAATATATTTTTCTATTTTTTTTATCAAAAACAAAAAGAAAAACCATCATTTTTCTTCATATTTTTCTCTCATGCC